CGTACAACGGGTCGTGACCAATACCGTCTCCGATGTCCTTTCTAACAGTGTCATTCTAATCAGCACTCTGATTGCCATGCTGGTGCTATCGTGGGAGCTAACCATAGTTGCGGTGGGGACTGCGCCTGTCTTCTTTTGGCTCAGCAGGTTCGTAGGCGCCAAGCGACGGGCCATCGCCGCCGAAGCCCAGCGGTCCACGGCCGAGTTGACCGCCATCACCCAGGAAACCCTGTCAATATCGGGCGTCATGCTGGCCAAGCTTTTTGGACGCCAGAACAGCGAGATTGACCGGTTTCACCACCAGAATCAGAAGCTGTCGGACTTGATACTCCGCCGGCAGATGACCGGTCAATCCTTCTTCACTCTGATGCAGATATTCTTTTCCGTCTCACCCGTTGCCATATATCTCCTGGCCGGATACCTGCTGGTCGGTGGCGGCGTGAACCCGGTATCGGCCGGTACAATTGTTGCCTTCACTACCCTGCAGAGTCGCCTTTATTTTCCGATAGGACGGTTGCTGGAGGTGTCGGTGGAACTACAGGCGTCACTCGCCCTTTTCGAGCGCATCTTTGGTTACCTGGACATAAAGCCTGATATCTCCGATGAATCTGACGCCATCGAGTTATCGCCTGGTCAGGTGGCGGGCTCTGTCAGGTTTGACTCCGTACGGGTGAATTACTCCGCCCCTAATAACCCCGATTCGGATGCGGTGGGACCCGAAGGGATGGCGGCGAAAAAGAATGGACTTGAGTCGCAGTGGGCGTTGGACGGCGTCAGCTTTGAGATTAAGGCAGGCCAGTTGGCCGCTTTCGTGGGGCCCAGTGGCGCGGGCAAGACCACCATTTCCTACCTAATTCCCAGGCTGTATGATGCGACCGAGGGCAGTATCAGCATTGACGGCGTAGACGTGAGGAAGATTAATCTGGCATCTCTTGCAGGGCTGATAGGCTACGTTACCCAGGAGAGTTACCTGTTTCACGCCAGCATTCGGGAAAACCTGTTGTACGGCGACGGTCAGGCCAGCCAGCAAGACCTTGAGGCCGCCGCAAAGGCCGCCTACATCCACGATCGCATAGTGGAATTCCCTGAGGGCTACGACACAGTCGTAGGCGAACGGGGTTACCGGCTCTCCGGCGGGGAGAGGCAGCGCCTTGCCATTGCCCGTGTGATACTTCACCAGCCCAGGATTCTCATTCTTGATGAGGCCACGTCGGCGCTTGACACAACCAGCGAGCGGTACGTGCAGTCGGCATTGCAACCGTTAATGCGGGGACGCACCACCGTGGCCATTGCCCACCGATTGTCTACCATTATCGCGGCCGACGTCATCTATGTTATAGACCGCGGCAGGCTCATGGAGCAAGGCACCCACACCGAATTGCTGGCGCGCGGTGGCCTGTATGCCCACTTATATCAGGAGCAATTCGATGGCGGCCAAGTCGAGTGCTATTGCGAGGACGGGGTAGTGCTGAGCGACGGGCAAATTGTATACCCAGATCCCGAGGAAGCGTTTGTGTAACCCTTGTTCAACCCAACTACCTAAGGAACCGTGGCCCCTTGGGAGAGATCCCTTTGATCACCAGAGGTCGTGAATTTGAGCTAGCCCCGCAGACGCGGTATGACTTCTTCACCCATTAACTGAATCTGGCGCAGGGTTGCCTCTTGCGACATCCCCGGCCACTGCATGCGGAAAATCAGGTAGTTGACGCCCAGTTCCTGCTCGTAACGCTCAATTTCTGATGCAACGTCCTCAGGCGAACCAAGCAAGAAACGATCGCGGGCCAAATCCTGGTAAGGAACAGAGAAGCTTTCCTCGCCGGGTAAGGCCTTGTCCTGGCCCCAGGCGGCGTAGGCAGCGTACTTGGGCCCCAGGTATGGCTCACTCTCCACGAAAGCCGTTTCCCGGTCCTGTGCCACGTAGAGTTCCCGCATCATGGGCAAGGCTTCCGGGGTGGGTTGCCCTGCCCGTTCCCAGGGCCGCCTGGTAGCCATGCCATTGGTCTGAGACCATCTCCATTGTCGCGTGGGGGTTTACCAGCCAGGGATATCCCCAGCGGGCGGCTCGCCGAATAGCCACATCATTGTTGGCGGCGACCCAAATGGGTGGATGGGGTTGCTGCACGGGTTTGGTGGTCGGAGAAACCCGGGGGACCTGGTAAAACTTGCCGGAAAACTCCACCTCTTCCTGGGACCAGAGCAACTTCATCACGTCCAGCGCTTCTCTTAAGCGCGCAACGCGCTCGCCCCGTTCCACGCCAAAGGCTGCATATTCCTCGTCACGGTAACCCAATCCCACGCCGAAAATGAAACGGCCTCCGCAAATAGCGTCCATGGTTGCTACGCTTTCGGCCAGTTCCACGGGATTGTGCAGCGGCACCAGAATGACCGTTGCCGCCACCCTCCATGTCCCCGGCTTCAGCCGCCAAGCGGGCCAACAAAGGAAAGCTGGAGCTCATCTGATATGGGGCTGCAAGGTAATGCTGTCCCGTACAGATCAGGTCAAAACCCGCCTCCCTGGCGGCCCCGACCTGCTCCACACTCTCCCGTATCTTTTGCGAAAAGGATTCCCCGGGCAAGTATTGATTGGTTACAAAAAATCCCAGTTTCATGGCAATTCCCGTTAGTACAGAGTTTTCAAAAATCTCTTGGCTGAAAGGTCTGCTCCGTATTCTATAAGCTCTAGAGGCCTTTAACAATGAGTGCTTCTTTATACTTAGGCCACATCCATTACAGTAATTTGATAGACCTGGAGTGGTCAACTATTGTAGAATCTGAAATTGGTGATTGAGATTATGTAAATGGGTTTGGGGGATAGGGATGAAGATTGCCAGATTCCGTTCAGGAAGTCGAACCGCACACGGTGTAGTTTTCGACGACGAAGTGGCCGAGATTAGGGGAAGTATATACACCAGCTTCAGAATTACAGACACACGACATCCGCTTTCCGAAGTGAGATTTTTGCCGCCCACAGACCCGGGGGAACTATGGGGCCCGGGACTGAATTTCGTAGACCACCTTGAATACGCTGGCTCGGTTTTTGGGCAAGACGCAATGCCGGTGCCGGAAAAACCCCAACCCTGGCGCAAGGGTCGCAACGCGCTGACCGGTGTGAACGACCCGATAATCATTCCCAAGGACACTGCCGGAGAGGTGCACTATGAAGGGGAAGCGGTGGCGGTGATTGGGAAAGTCTGTCGCCGTATTTCTGTGGAACGAGCTTCTCACTATATCCTGGGCTATACCTGCGGGAACGACGTCAGTGAACGGTCCTGGCAGAAGGATGACTGGACATTCTGGCGAGCTAAGGGTGCCGATACTTTTGCCCCGGTTGGGCCGTGGATCGAAACTGAAGTGGACCCTCAACAACTGGACTTGCTGGTGCGCATAAACGGTGAAGAAGTCCAGCGGTGCAACACCTCCGATATGCTGTTCAGCTTCGCAGAAATAGTTAGCTACATCAGCCAGCAGGTAACTTTGAAGCCAGGCGACCTGGTGTTTTCCGGAGCAACCGGAGTAACCCGTGCCATTACGCCAGGAGACGTGGTGGAAGTTGATATACCCGGCGTCGGGGTCCTGAGTAACCCGGTTATTGCCGAATTCGAAGCAGGTCAGGGAAAATAGACTGCAGAAACCAGTGCTGGCGGGAGAGCCTCCGGCGCTTAGCAAACGCCTGTTTAAAGCCCTGTCTATTGAGGCAGGGCTCTACCTTGTCTGACCGTCCCCGGTTTCGTCGGTAACGGTTTCCAGTTCCTGGCCACTCTCTTCAGACAGCGGCGGACTTGGCCTCTTCGCCAGGGCGAACATCAAGGCGCTAATGACAAAGGTGGGCGCAAATGAGATCAGTACAATCTCGTAGCTTCCCGTAGTGTCCCGAATCCATCCGGCATAGATGGGTGCTATAAACATCCCGATGTTGTGGAAAATGCTCATTGCTCCCATCAGGCTGGCGAACCGGTTCCGACCGAAGTAGTCCCCCACCATGATCCAGTTAACCGACGTGATACCCTCCACGATAGCCAGTCCCAGGATGAACACAATCAGGGCCGGCCACTGCGGCAACAACCACAGTCCTACCAGCCCCACAGCCCCCAGGTTCATACCGTAGAAAAGCAGCTTACGGGGTGAGAGGCGTCCTCCGGCCACTCCCAGAAGGAAACGCAACGGGATTGCCAGGAAGAACATTATCGATGCTGCCAGTGTGGCGGTATCCTCTGATACTCCTTTCCAGACCAGCAAGGGGAACAAGTGGATGATGATGGAGTTGGTGGCCGAAACGCGGGTTATGACTCCAAAGAGAATGAACCAAAAAGCCTTGGTGCGCATGGCCTGACGCACAGTGAAGTTCTGTTCTTCACCCGCCGCAGATGAGCCTCCACCGTGGTGATGTCCGCCTCCCCGAGAGGCACGAGTTGCTGCCTGGCCGACAGGAGGATCGCCATCTGGTCGGAGGCCAAGATCCTCGGGTTTACTGCGAATGACGTATGCCACTGGAATCGTGAGAAGTGCTATGAATAATCCAATGGCGAACACCGTCTCACGCCAACCAACATAGACAACCCCTAGGTGAAGCAGTGGGACCACAATTGCCCCGCCGCCGGCGAAAGCAGTCATCAATGTGGAAAGGGCTAGCGCCTTGCGCCGCACGAACCATTGGTTCACCGTAGCCATCAGGGTCTGGCCCAATCCGGCTGTCTTGCCCACAGATACAACGCCCACAAAGAGCAATACCAACTGCCAGTATTCCTGAGCAAAGGAAAGGAGCATCAAACCTATGCCGGCGGTCAGCCCGCCAAAAAGGATCATTGGCCGGGAACCAAACTTGTCTACCAGCCAGCCCACCAGGGGCGCACCGAAGCCACCTTCAGCCCGGGCCAGGCTGAAAACCAGTGACATAGCGGCGTAGGAGATACCGAGGTCATTGCGGATCGGTTCGAAGAAGCGGGGGAAACCAGTGGAGATGGCGCCGTTGCCAAACATCCCCTGCAGGCAGGACACCGCTACTACGTACCAGCCATAAAAAAAGCGGCCCTGCCGCTGCTGCGTACCGGTTGCCTCTGCTGTGGTGCTGGTGGAAGTTCCGGGGTCAGTGGGAGTGTTGTTCATAGCTGCGGCAACATATTATCCCAGTTTTGAATACTTGGTCAAGTGAAGTATTACATTCACTTATATCTAACAAGGTGATGCGAGGTCAAACCTATTTCGCTTCACTGGATTTAACCCCGCCTTTAGGAAGTTTCCAGCGCAGTTGTTGGATTGACTTCGTCCCAGTGCCATAATGTGTTCATGCAAGAAGCCCCTGCAAGTTCTTCACCTTTTGAAGCCGCTCTCAAACGGGACAGAGCATTTGTGGTTGCCGGGTTGGTGGCAATAACTGCCCTTGCCTGGGCGTACTTGTTCTACCTCGCACAAAATATGGTAGGCATGGAAAGTGTGGGCGGTCTGGAAATTGCCGGGTCGGCCATGATGGTGGCGTGGGGGCCGGCAAATTTCGGCCTGATGTTCCTGATGTGGACCGTGATGATGGTTGGCATGATGGTGCCTTCGGCAACGCCAATGATCTTGACCTTCGCCACCATAAACCGGCGCCGTCGTCAGAATGGCAATCCCTATGTCCCTACCGGCGTTTTTCTGTCGGGGTACCTCCTGGTTTGGGCTGGCTTTTCAATGGGAGCGACTCTGGTCCAGTGGGCCCTGCACTCCGCAACCTTGCTGTCCCCATTGATGATTAGCGCCAGCCCGATTCTTGGTGGAATATTGTTGCTGGTAGCAGGCGCCTTCCAGTGGAGTCCCATTAAGAGGGCCTGCCTTCGTAATTGTCGTTCGCCGATGGGATTTATTACCAACGATTGGCGAGAGGGACACCGGGGCGCGCTGGTAATGGGTCTTCACCACGGCACATACTGTCTGGGCTGCTGCTGGGCGTTGATGGGGCTCCTTTTCCTGGTAGGGGTAATGAATCTCCTGTGGGTCGCGGCTTTGGCGGCGTTCGTGCTGGTAGAAAAGGTTGTTCCGGCTGGCAACTGGGTAGGTCGAATAGCCGGACTTGGGCTGCTGGTCTGGGGGTTTTGGCTACTGGCAGGAGCCATTGGGAGCTAGCAGTGTTCGGGGGTGTTGTTGAGTCAGACTGAACCGGCTCCGGGTAAGAAGCGAGCCGTAAAGTTGCTTGCCTCTCATAAGTTAAGGAGGGATATATGCCGAGTCATGCCGATAACCATGATCGGGACAAGTTGCTGAGGTGGTATGCGGATCTGAAGAAGGCCCAAATCGATGTTCCCCCTGTGTTTGCCATTTTCCTTGTGTCGGAGGTTGACCGGGCCGCCCACGATGTTTTTCGGTCCTTTCGCAGCAGCTTTGAGGAACATCAACTGGGTTTCGAGCACTTGGTAATTTTCGGCCAGCACGGAGTATCTGCTACAGCTCGGCATGTGCGTGACAAGTTTGGTCTACAGTCAGACGGCGGACCGTCGGTAGTATTGTTCTCCGGTGAAGGCGATCAGCCTCTTGTAGTAAAGATGTCTAAGGGGGAAGTGGGCGGTGCAGGCAAGGAAACTGAAGCTGGATGGCAGAACGCATTGGAGCAAGCAGTGACGGCTATTAGAAACAAGGTCAAGGATGAAGGCGCAGCTTTGGAAGCGCTGCGGGAGCTTTGCACAGAGTTGGCTGGTAGGAATTAAGGGGCTTAATCTGGGGGTGAATCGTGGAGCCACTAATTTTAATTGTCCTATTACTGTCTGGCCTGTCTGCAGGTGCACTCGTGGGCTGGGTGTTAAGAGGCGGTCGGGCGAGTAATGAGGCGGCAGAGCAACGTACTGAAATCGCGCGCCTCAATGGTCAGTTGGAGCAGGCCGCCACGGCACAACAGTTGTTAGAATCCGCCAAGGCCCAGTTCAGCGAAGCGGCCAAATTGACTGCTGCCGAAGCCCTGCAGGGAAACAATGATCAATTTCTCAAATTGGCCAACGAAAATCTGGGCAAGACTCTGGAAACGGCGAACCGGGAGTTGCAACAGAGGCACCAGCAGTTTCAGGAATTGGTCAAGCCCTTGTCCGAAAACTATAGCAAGCTCAATCCGCAGATCGAGACCCTGGCCAAGCAGAGCCAGTCGCTGGCTACCGAAACCGGCAAGTTGTCCTCTGCATTGACCGACAACCGACAGGCTGGTCAATGGGGAGAGGTGCAGCTGAGGCGCGTTATAGATCTGGCTGGGATGAGCGACTACTGCGACTTTGCGGAACAGAAGGTTCTGGGCGCTTCCCAAGGGCGCCCGGATCTAATCGTTAGACTGCCCGAGAAGAGGGCCATAGTGGTAGATGCCAAGGCATCCACTCTGGCATACATGGAAGCACAGCAGACAGATGACGCCGATATGGCCGATAAAGCCTGGACTCGGCACGCTCAGGCGATGCGGCGGCAGGTGGACGACCTTGGTGGAAAGAATTACGGGGCCGCCGTTGACGGCTCGATGGACTTTGTGGTGATGTTCGTGCCGGGTGACCAGTGTTCCTGGCTGCGGCCCTCAGCGGCAACCCCGGCCTGATTGAGTACGCGATGGCCAAGCGGGTTGCGATCGCGACACCCGCCTCCCTGATTTCCATGCTTTGGGCAGTCGCCAACGGTTGGCAGCAGTTCCGACTTGCGGAAGACGCGGCGCGCATCAAGGAAGCAGGGGAAGAGATGTACAAGCGTCTGACCACGTTTATGAATCACTACGCCAGGGTAGGCAGGGAACTGGAATCGGCGGTGTCCGTCTACAACCAGTCGGTGGGTTCTTTTGACCAGCGCCTGGCGCCGCAGGGAAGGCGGTTCGCCGAGTTGGTGGTGGGAAGCGATGCGGACCTGACGTCGCCCAACACCATAGACGGCCTCCCAAGGGTGTCCGCCTATGCTGGTGTCGACGACGAAGATAAAGGACCTCTCCAGCGCGGCGGCCGACAATTGATTCCGGTTGTAAACGCTTTTTGCCACTGCTACAATCACGCCAACTATAGTAAATGGAGGTACTAACATGGCTCTCATTTCCAACTTGGGCCACGTAGGGATCATCTGCGACGATTTTCTGAAGATGCGAGACTTTTATACCCGGGTGCTTGGGTTGACAGTGACCGACGAAGACCCTGATCGGGGGAGTTGCTTCCTCAGCGCCGACCCTGAAAACGAGCACCACGAACTAAACTTGGGTCAGGCTAACGAGAACCGCCCCCGAACCCGCAACGTCGGCCAGGTCTCCTTCATTGTCCCCAGCATGGAGGCCCTGCGGGAACTGGACCGCCGCTTCAAGAATGAAGGCACCACCATCCTGCGCACCGTCACCCACGGCATATCCAACAGCATCTACTTCGACGATCCGGAAGGCAACGTGGGGGAGGTCTATTACAAGACCGGTTACATAGTGAAGCAGGGCTTTGGGCGACCCATCGACCTGGAAAACCAGTCGGACGAAGAGCTTATGGCCTTTGCCCAGAGCTTCGAAGCCACCGAGGGCCCGTTCCAGGGCGCCAAGCTGCCCGTAGGAAGCGCCGACTAGTCATCTCTTCAGAGACAGCTACCGGGGATTGAATATGGTAATGTAGGGGCGGGTTCAAAACCCGCCCTTACTTTTTGTCCTTATTATTTTGGCAGTT